TTAAGTGTTGAAAGTTTGAAAACTATGGTACCGTTAGTAACAATTTGCTTGCTGAGTTCATCTTTCCTTGTGATTTAGAAACATTGTAAGTAGAGGTTTAGGTGTTGCTGTCTTATTGTGGATCAATATAAGGTTTCTCAATACTTGGATTTAACTCTTTTGTAAGCCTGGAATTTTTTTTTTTTTTTTTTTAAGACAGGGTCTCACTCTGTCACCCAGGTTGGAGTACAGTAGCACAGTCCTGGCTAACTACAGTCATACCTCCTGGGCTCAAGCAATTCTCCCACCTCAGCCTCCCCAGGAACTGGGACTACAGGCATGCACCAACACCCTGGCTAATTTTTTAATTTGTTTAGAGACAAGGTCTCACTATGTTGCCCAGGCTTGTCTTGAACTCCTGGACCCAAGTGATTCTCCCGCCCCAGCCTTCTCAAAGTGCTGGGATTACAGGTGGGAACTACTGAACCCAGCTTTTAAAAAAAAATTTATACGTTTAATAACCGATTATATGTCATTTTCCTCTGCTTCTTCAGGAGCCCATCCTATTAGCTACAGGTAGAATCTCTGCACCCTGTCTCCAGAGAGTCAATTTTTATCATGAATTCATTGTATGTGATTGCTTAGTTCTTCCATGTTTTCTACCTATACTTTTCTGACACTCTGCACTGTTTTGTGCTTTGGTTTTTCAAATTTGATCAGAAAACAATGAGTTTGTTTTTATGGCCTCCAATGAAACAGTTATAATGTTGACCAAGTACTTTTGGTTTTGGTTTGTCTGCTTATTAAAATCCTTACACTGATCTCACATAATACATATTTTATTTGATGTTTTGATCTTTGCTATTTTAATTTTTAACTTTCACTTGCAGTCCTTCCCATGTCTCCATTTCAGAGTTACCAAGTATTTTCAGACTCTGGCTCTTTTATTCTCTCTCTGGAAAAGTTCCTGTCCTGCTCTAGAGACCCTAACGTGGGGCTACAAATCTTCCCTGAGACTTTGTGCCATTCAAGTCCTTTATGTCAGACCCACACACTGACATCATCACGATATTTTTGCAGAGGAGGTGCCAGCACTTTGGCTCACTCCTCAGTGCTCTGAGTCCTTCCCACTCACGCCTTGGTTCTAAGCAGATGAAACTGGACACCCTTGATGCCATTCTCAACCTACTCTCCCAGCTCCTCCTCCTCTAAATGTCCGGCTTGGCCCTCTTCTTTATCCACACTGCCACTTTCAGCGATCTTGCCCTTCCCCCAGCGTTAAGTGACTCCCAAATGTGTACCCTTCCCTGATGTCTACCCTGACCCCAACTTCTTAGCACTAGCTCCGAGGTTAGCAACTGTTTAGATGCCTAATAGAACCGCAAGTTAAATGTAGCCCAGAGCTACATTTAAACACCCCCAGCTCCAGTCCCTCCTCCTTGACTTTCTCCATCTCGGGAACAGCATCCACTCAGCTGCTCACATTGAGTACTTGGGGTCACTTTGACTTGTCTTCCCCTCATCCTACACCAAATCAGGCAGCACGTCCGACAGCTCTGCCATTCACACATGTCCCAGGTCACACCAGTCCTCACATCTGCACACCCAAGCCATCGGGTCACTTCACTTGAGCCACATGCACCAGGATCTGTCTAAATCCCAGGACTCAGCAGGAAGCAAAACAGATACAAATCCCTGCTTCCACTAGCCATCTTCCTCATAGGCCATCCTGTCCCACTTGGACAACCAGCTGCTCCTAGCTGGTCTCCTGCTTTGGGTCATGTCTCCTGTGATTCATTCCCCACGACCCTCAATTAGATCATGGCACAATCCTGTAAAAGCTCCATGGGGCCTTGTAAGGGCTTATAAGATGCGGCTTCTGCCTAGGGTTGTTAGGCAAAACACAGGACACCTAGTTAAATTTGAATGTCAGATAAACGTAGGTAATCTATTAGTTTAAGTATATCCCAATATTACATGGTATATACTTATACTAAAAAAGTTGTTGTTTATCTAAAATTCCCACTTCCCTGTGCATCTTGTGTTTGTATTTGTTGACCCTGGTTGAGCTACACCTGCCTCTCCCTGATCTTACTCCTGACATTTTCCTTCATTCTTTATGCTCTTTTTGTTTGTTTGGTTTTGTTTTTTGGTGTTTTTTTTTTTTGAGTTGGAGTCTCACTCTGTCGCCCAGACTGGAGTGCAGTGGCCGCTCCCAGCCACCGCAGTCTCGACCTGCTGGGCTCCGGTAATCCTTCCGCCTCAGCCTTCCAAGTAGCTGGAACTACAGGCGCATGCTACCACGCCCGGCTCATTTTTTGATTTATTGTAGAGATGAGGTCTCACCAAGTTGCCCAGGTGGGTCTTGAACCCGCGGCCTCAGGCAATCCATTCACCTCAGCCTCCCAAGGCACGGGATTACAGGCTTACAGGCTGAGCCACCGAGCCCGGCTTTTTTTGTTTTTTGTTTTTTTTAAGATGAGATCTTGCTGTGTTGCTCAAGTTGGTCTTGAACTCCTGGACTCAAGCAATCCTCCCACATCCCAAAGTGTTGGATTACAGGTGTGAGCCACCATGCCTGGCATCCTTCATTCCTTTTGTTCTAACCACATATCCTGTTCCTTGAACAGGCTGGCTTCATTCCTGCCTTGGAATATTTGTATACTTTGTCCTAAATGTCCCTCTGCCAAATTGATGGATGGCTTGCTCCCTCTTGTAATTGAGGTCCCAGCTCTGTCACCTCCTTGACTCCCAAAAGAAACTGGCACACTCCCACCCAATGTCTCTCCTTCACATCATCCTGTTTCATCATAATGCTTACTAAAATTATCTTGTTTATGTACATACTTAATCTACTGCTGTGCTCCTAAGATATTAGCTCCAAAAAGGTCTAACAGCATTGTGGTTATTGCTATATTCCAGCACCCAGAACAGGCTTAGAGGAGACCTTCAATACTTGTTTCTTAAAAGATTGAATGATGAATTAATTTAAGACCTGTTCCAATCAAAGCAGTTTGAAAACTACAAGTTTATAGCTTCAGGGAACTGACTCTACAGGAGCACAGGGTAGATGGGAAACATAATTTTGTTCCCTTCTAAGATTTCCAAAAATTCCATCCCTCAGTTAGCTAAGTCTTCAAGTCTGGTCATCACTTTACCTATGGATGCGAAGACAGATATGCAGAGAGAATTTAGAACACTACAGTGTCTCTGATTCTAACTTGAAGCCAACTGTTCAGTAAATAGAGAAATGGAACAGCTAGAGGTTGAAGAAAGCTTTCTGCGCTAGCTCCGTGTACCAGAGACTAGGCAAGTTGGGAAAGCTGTTGTCACCATAGCAACAAAGTGATTCAGTTCCCGGGTAAATCCAGGTAGCAATTCAGTGTTGGGGGAAATCTATCAGCATGCAGAAGTGTCTGGGGAAGTCTGAGAGAAGCCTAGTGGAGAGACTTAAAATATATTTCTTCCTCAACAAAGAAGCAGCACTGAAGCAGAAATAAAAGCTTGTAATCAGCCATCGTGAAATAGTGTTTCATAAAAAGAAAGCGCCATTTGTATGTGTTTTCTCCTACTGATAAGTGATTCATAACAATGGCATCAAGTGGGACAAATTCCTCCATGGGAATCTAGAAAAACAACAGCTCCAGGTCCAATTGGCTAGAATTGCATTAGCTGAAAGCCAATTCATTGAAACTAAGCCTGACTGGCCAATTTGATAAGTGCTCAATTTGTCAAAGAAATTATTTGCAAAATTTACCAAATGTACTGATTGTGCTTTTAAAAGCCTTTAAAAGGAAAGTTGAATTAGATTACTGATGATAAAAGATTCTTTTCTGCCTATTAACTAAGCTAAGATTGATATGGCCCCAGAGAAATTGACAAGAGAATCTTGAAACTGCTGTATGTCTAATAAAACACAAAACAGCCTAGACCAAAAAAACCTCATTGATATTTCAACTAAAATGTTGACCTTTCCTTTGTGATGGGATTATTTTGGATCCTTGCGATTTCTTTCAGATGATTTGGAATTTTTTCCCCAAGCTTTAAGCATTTACATATTCTTTGTTAATTCTTCAGATGGTACATCAACTTTACTTTTGCACTTCTAACAATTAAAATGCAATTAAATGTGAAATTAATCTTAATGCTAATTAAATTTAAAATGTCAAATTAAAGGAATCTAAAATAATTGGAAATTTTACCAATAGATTATTTAATGAATTGAATATTAGTGAATTGAAATTTTGATGAATCAGCTCACTTTCCAAAACTGACATCATTTGGGCCATTACCATCCATGCAGAAAATAGATTGACAAATTGATTTCCTCTTGGTGCTCTTATGGGGCTGCAGCAAGCAGGAGGAGTAGCAGCAAAAGTCTCAAGTGTTGGATACTGAGCAAGTGAGAAAAGGCTGGTCATGTCTTCACACTCCAACCCCTTCCCAGAGCAACTGGTCTCAAATTAACTTTTTTTTTTTTTGGTAGGAGTCTCACTCTGTTGCCAAGGCTGGAGTACAGTGGCACACTCATGGCCAACACAGCCTCGACCTGCTGGGCTCCAGTGATCCTTCTGCCTTAGCCTTCCAAGTAGCTGGAACCACAGGCATGTACCACTACACCTGGCTAATTTTTGATTTATTGTAGAGATGAGGTCTTGTCAAGTTGCCCAGACTGGTCTCGAACACTTGGCCTCAGGCAATCCTCTCACCTTGGCCTCCCAAAGTGCTGGGATTGCAGGTGTGAGTCACTGTGCCTGGCTTAAAATTAACTTTAGTTTAAAACACACACACACACACACACACACACGCACGCACGCACAAACTACAGTTCAAATTCTATGAAGACAAAGCCTCCACACAACCACAAAGGTTTCTAAGCTCTGCCAGCTGCCCAATTACTGTGAGTGCAGCATTTGGAGAGTCAGAGCCAGACAGGGGCACTGGGTCAGGCTTATGAGCTGCTTCATTAGCCTGGTGGCCGCCACTACCTTCCCAACCCCCACACCCGGGCCAGCCATTACCCATAGAGCTCCTTGCAGAGCAGTGTGGTCAGTTTCTTCAGATGAGGAAGACTGCTGGACCCCGTCTTCACAAATTCAGAATCCAGGGTGAGCTGAGTACTTAAATATTCTTGGATGGCTTTAAGATGCTCTTCTGGAAGGCTGAAAAAATAAAATAAAAAGAAATAAAAGCACACTTACCCTGTTTCTTTTGGCCACTGATGCCAATGGTCACAGCAACAACAACAAACACTCATTCTCAGAGTCTCCGGGTGAGACCTGGTCCTTCTGAAGAACATTTGCACACCTGTGTCAATGGTTCCAGTGGTCTTACGGATGGGGCAGAGTAGCAGGTCAGCGGAGCAAGATGAAGGGTCTAGCAAGAGAGGAGCCCCTTGACCAAGTATTTTTGGGTGCTGTTGGGAGGAAGTGATTCTGGGAAATGTTTATACTTTTAAAAGGAGACAAAAAAGCTTGGAAAACGTATGGTGAAGTTCTTTCTCAATGTCACCTACTCATAAAGATAGGATCTGAGGACTGGAAGGCTAACCTAGTCCAGAGATGGCAACTGGCTTTAGCTCACATGCACATGGCAAATTCATAACTCAAGGCTACCCAGAGCATTGTGTTAGGAGGGTCTGGTGTCATTCCATGCTCTACAGGTGATTAGTGATTAGTTATGGAGCTGGGATTGGGGCCAGTGTAGAGCAATGCCCAACTGCCCTGCCTAATTTGGTCCAGCCCCTTCTGTGTATGAAGTAATGGGCACATAGGCAAGATTTGTTCACTGTGTACATGGGCCTGTGTGGCAGAGGCATAGCAGAGCCCAGATCCCACCAGGGGCTGTCACCTAAAGTCTGATCAGACAGCGACAGTCTATCTCCCAGCACCATGCATTCTGGGTAACTTTTATTTTGTTTTTTATTTTATTTTATTTTATTTTGAGTTGGAGTCTCACTGTCACCCAGGCAGAGTGCAGTGGCACGCTCACAGCCACCACAGTCTTGACCTACTGGGCTCAGGTGTTCCTATCACCTCAGCCTTCCAAGTAGCTGAAACTGTAGGCATGCTCCACCACACTTGGCTAATTTTTTGATTTATTGTAGAGAAGAGGTCTCTCCAAGTTTCCCAGGCTAGTCTCGAACCCCTAGTCTCAGGCAATCCCCTTGCCTCGGCCTCCCAAAGTGCTGGACTTACAGACTTGAGCCACCACGCCTGATATTCTGGATAACTTTGAGTCTTTGTTCACATAATAATGAAAGTCACGATAAATAGCAAATATTTGCTGCTCATAACATACCAAACACTAGATTGCACACTTTATGCTCCTTTTCTCCTTTAATCCACAAATCAATTTTACGAGGCAGATATAATAATAATAATTATTATTATTATTATTATTATTTTGAGTTGGAGTCTCACTTCATCGCCCAGGCTGGAGTGGCACGTTCACGGCCACCCCAGCGTCTGCTTGCTGGGCTAAGGTTATCCTTCTACCTCAGCTTTCCAAGTAGCCGGAACTACAGGCACTCGCTACCATGCCTGGCTAATTTTTTGATTTACTGTAGAGATGAGGTCTCGCCAAGTTGCCCAGGTTGATCTCAAACCCATAGGCTCAGACAATCCCCTCACCTCAACCTCTCAAAGTGCTGGGATTTGAGCCACTGTGCCTGGCTTGGATATTATTATTTTTAACCCTGCTATACAAACAAGGAAACTGAGGCTCAAGGATATTAATTACCTGTGTGAAAAAATTATCTCAAGTCTTAAAGATTTTGCTCTAGCCTTGACATCTAATCACGTTGAAACTAGAGGCCACAAAGATTTTCCTGTAAGGTCTGTGAAAGAATGAAAAAAGCTATTGCTCTTAAGAATGAACGAGTCTGAACTAGCCATTTCAGCTTGCTTGGATTGAGAAGAGAGGTCAGCAACTATTTACGTACTAATCGTCATAACATTTTAGTTTAATCTATATTTATTCTGGGTCTTAACATCTATAGTTTTAAAATATGTATCGTGACAAGTCTAATGACTATTGACTTGTAACTGAGATCACAAGTCCTTATTATAGGAAGTTCTAATTGTTAAAATGTTTGCTGTAGAAAAGTGTCAATATAAAGATGTAAACTATGTTTATGCAAGAAGGTTAATTTTACTGAGAAGCCTTGAAATAATTAACTTGTTCACCATGACTGAACTGCTGAGCTCTAATTGATTTGCAGGAAAAACAGTGCAGATTGTCTCATAATGAAAAATAATCCGAAGGGAGTTCTCCACGGAAAAAGCGACTTGGCATACAAAATAGGCTAACTTTAAAACAGTGAGGAATCTCAGTTTCCCTTGTCCCTGAGAGCTGAGGGTGGCAGTGTTGCCTCTTTCCTTGGTCACTGCCCATGCCCCATTTCTCATCTCCAAGAAGACATTTAGGAAGGTTCCACCGTCACATGTCAGATGAGAAGCAAAGATAGAAAGAGCATGCCTCCCTGCCCATGAGCCTTCAGCCCATGCCCCTATCCCAGTCCTTCCCAGGAGGCTGCCTGGAGACTTGACTTCACACCTTGTCCTGCCCGGCTGAGACGGAAGTATTTAGAGCAGAGTGACTGATTACAAGGAGTCAACAGGGGATGTGGCAGAGTTAAGAGAGGTCTGTAGGGGGCGCTGTGGGGGCCTCCCTGCCACTCCCCAAGGAATTCACTGCATGTAGCCTCTAAACCTAAGGAGAAATGGAAACTCAATGGAACCAAGCAAGGACTCTATGTGGAATATATACTTTTAATTTTTTTAAATTTTGATTTTAGAGACTCCACCCAGGCTGGAGTGCAGTGGCATGATTATAACTCACCATAGCCTCAACCTCCTGGGCTCAAGAAATTCTCCCACCTTAACCTCCCAAGTAGCTGGGACCACAGGCACATGTCACTGTGCCCAGCTCATTTAAAGCACTTGTTTTTGTAGAGACAAACTCTTGCTATATTGCTCAGGCTGGTTTTAAACTTCTGGCCTCAAGAGATCTTCCCATCTCAGCCTCCCAAGGTACTGGGATTACAGGTGTGAGCCACTGCACTGGCCAGAATACTTTAACAAGCATTTGTCATTTGACACATGTATCAGGACAGTCATGATAATGTATCATGAATATTCAGCTATGTGATAAATAGCACAAGTTATTCAAGGAGCACACACAGACACCGAGAGAAGAATGTGGGCCAAGAGAAGAACCAAAGGACACATCAAGGTGGAAACAGTAAAACACCAGGTATCTTAGCAACCCTGTGGCCTATGTGTTACCCTCCAATGTTTCCTCCGTATTTTGTCATGTCAGAGGTGGAAGAACAGCCCTGGCACCTCAGTGGATCTTTCAGGTTGGAGATGCTGCCTCAGCCCTCTGTTAGGATTTTCTTTGTGGGGTGGGGGAGCTTTTCTCACAAAGAAACAAAAAGTGTTTGAAAAATATTAACACAAAGAAGTTACTGTGCACTCATTCATCCTCTCATGCCACAAATATCCAGCAAGGTCTACTCTATGCAGGTCAATGTTCCAGGCCCTGGGGACACAGTGCCCCTCGTGGCACTTCCCTCCTGCTAAAGCCCATTCCCTTGACCAATCTTGAAGACAACAATGCAAAGGCTTCTGATGAGCAAGATAACAAACACCCTGAAGATATCCCTGTCTCCCTTCTGGCCGCCAAAAGTAGGGTCGAAACCCAACATCACCCAGCCAGGGACATACTGAGTTCTGCAGGAAAAAAGGCTCAGGCCGGCCTCTGAAGGCACCCGCTAGGTGGGGACTCACCCACTGGTGTCCATGCTCTGCAGTCGCTGAAGCAGTGTCTCTGAGAGGCTCGGCCGGCTGACCTCAGTAGCCCGGGGATTCTCAGTTGAAAGAGGAACCTCCTTGGCCTCACAGGGCCCGGCAGTCAGAGGGATGTTTCTTGGAGGCAGCTCGGGTGGAGACGTGACGCTTTCTACCCAAGAGAACAGCACGAATGCCATTGGTGAGGATGCTGCAAGTGTAACCCCACTTTCACCACTGTCCTGTGGGGTTCAGGCCATGGCGCCCACGTTACAGATCCCCGTCTGTGTCCCCATTGTTCCTCACCAACTCCCTGGCTAGAGAAAGAGCCTCCTGCAGCAGGGACCTGGTTAGCACAGTGTCTGTCCCCCTGTGGTGCTCAGCAAACACCCGCTGGTGTCAGAGGGCCCTGACTGATGAAGGATCTGGGGGTCTACATGGCTGTTGATCTTGGATGGCAAAGTTGGCAGCCTCAGGCAGGTCAGCAGAATGGGCCTGGCATTTCAGGGGCTGAGGCAGATGCCTCGAGTGGGATGAGCCCGGATGAGCCCTGGACCAGGTAGAGGTCCAGTTCCCAGAACAGGCCAAAGCTACGGGAGGGGGCCAGGGGCGGGGAGGCAGGTAGGCTGGACACACTACACCTGTCTCCCATCCTGTTGCATCCCACCCTGCCCCTCTATCTCTCACCCTGATCCCCTCTCTCCAGCTTCTACCCTTCCTTCTCTCTTCCTCTAGATCCTCAAAAACAAATAAAAGAAAAAATAAGAGGTTCCCTTGGAGCAGACAGCTTTGAGCTTGCAAAGGATTCAAAAGATTTCAAAGATTCTTTGTTATTTAATGAAATCAAGTAAATTTTTTTTTTTTTTTTGAGTTGGAGTCTCACTCTGTCGCCCAGACTGGAGTGCAGTGGCCGCTCCCGGCCACCGCAGCCTCGACCTGCTGGGCTCCGGCGATCCTTCAGCCTCAGCCTTCCAAGTAGCTGGAACTACAGGCACGCGCTACCACGCCCGGCTCATTTTTTGATTTATTGTAGAGATGAGGTCTCACCAAATTGCCCAGGCGGGTCTCGAACCCACGGGCTCAGGCAATCCACTCACTTCGGCCTCCCAAAGTGCGGGATTACAGGCTGAGCCACCAAGCCCGGCCTCCTTTGTAATATTAAATAAATGACTTAAACTTGGCTTGAGAAATGGGACCCCTGCCCATCACCTTTAGGAGAATGTCAGTCGTGCACATACCACAGATGGGCCAAGGTCACTGAGCCCCTCATGTCCAGGACTCCCTGTTAGAGCCTCTTCCCACACCTAGTGGTCACTGCAGACCAGCCACAGCACTGCCCAGGGGACTGACTCGTATGTTGAGTCCCACAGGTCAGGCAGCTTAAGAAGACCTGAGCCAAATCAGACACCTTGGGCTGGGAGGTCTGGTTTAAGCCAGCAACTGGGTGGCTTTGCTTGGGGAAGTGGAGCCAGCAGTCATGAGACTGAGGTTCTCTTTCCAGCTCTTACAGAAAGTTGTCAGGGTCTTTTTGCGGACAGCCATGCCCAGAGGGGCACAGCAAACTGGGGTGGGATGGCCCAAGGGAAGTGAGGACGGAAATGTGTGGAGGGCACTTCTGCAGGACAGTTTCTCAGTGGTCAAGGCCAAGGCCATCTGTGTGACTCTGGGCACCTGGGAACAACTAGGGTTGGGGAAGTTAGAGCATGGCACAGGGATGTTCCAGCTGTGGCTGTTCCAAAGCTGGACATTCCTAATAATTCCAGAGGGCACCTTTCACTTAGACCAGGGGGGCAAGAAGGGATAGGGCCTGAGACCCTCTCAACCTCCATGGAGCTGAAATCCTTTAAGAAATGAGAAGTTATGCAACCAGGAAAAAGTGGTCTCCAGGAACATGGGAGAAAGTGGGGGGTGCTAGTGGCCCACAGGATAGCCCACAGGAGTGAGAGAGAATGGATGCCCAGCACATGGCTGGCAGCCACCCAAAGGAACAGGAGGGAGTCAGGGAGGAATCTCAGCTTCTCTGGTCTAGTCTATCCTCTCTTGGGGAGAGCCCGTGGGACCTGGGAGCCTCCAGATGCTGGGATTCAGGAAGAGCCCTAACCCACTGAGGGGCTTAACTCAGTATCTCTTGGTTTTGTTTTAGGAAATAAAACCTCTGACAGGAAAACAGGTGCACTCCCCCTGGAGTGCATGACTTTCTTCCTCTGCATGACTTTCTCCGTCTGACTCTTTGTCCCTATGCTGTGAAAGGCAGGGCTGAGCCTCCCATACTTTTTAGGCATTGCACATTTTAAAAAACTTTTAGGGGCTATACTCTCCCTTTAATGATGATAAAAAGAAATTCCTTTCTCATCCTGCCAGTTGGGAACAAGAGTCTCCTTCATTCTCTTTGCAGTGAAATTCAGCTAATTATAGTGATGATAATGATCGTAGCTGCATTTATTGAGTGCTAACTATGTACCGAGTGCTGGGCACCACATTCTTTGACTCATTTGATCCTTGTGACACCCTGAGAGGGAGATACTATTTTTACTGTTTCTGTCTCTCTCTTTAAGGCTAGTCAAGTAAAGCAGTGAGAGTGGAGAATGATCACTTTAACTGCCTCTTTAAAGGAAAGTCTGCGGTTCAGAGAGGTCAAATAACTTATCTAAGGCCACACAGCTAACAAACTAGGGAGTAGAAATTCTAACCCCAGTCTTCCTAACCCTAGAGCCTGTGTTGCTGACTTGTCCATAACCACCATGTCATCGATCTTCCTCTGACAATAAGAGCCACCTGACCTATTAAGCACTTATGGTGGTAGAGGGCAAGGTCTCTAAGGCATTGTGTGGTTTCCTGTCGCCCTACCCTTCCCTTCCTACCTGTGTCCTCCTCAGGGTCATCGCCTGCGTCCTCCTCCTCCAGTGGCACGGGGTACTGTAGATGGGTTACCAGCCCCATGTTTTCTTTCTTGTAAAACTCGATGAGTTGGTCTAGCTTGGTGAAGAACCTCATGGGGACACCTTCAGATGCCTGAGGACAGAACCCGCAAACAGAAGCACATTTTAACTGACCAGATGTCACCCAACCACAAATATCACCTGCAGCAGAGAACAGTGAGACCCAGGGAGTGACCTTAATCCAGAAAAACCCTTGGGTGCCTACATGGGGTATGTGGCCCCCACACCCACAGCCTCACATCCTGTAACCAGCAGCAGCTCCCAAGAGTCCGCTGCAAAAGGTACATATGGGATTGCTCTAAAGATGTTTTTGTTCTTTCAGTTAAAAAAAAATGTTTATTTTAAAAAGTATTTTGTTATAAACATAATACAGTTTTATTACAGCAAAATTAGAAAATACAGATTTTTATTTAAAAAAAAAAAAAAAAAGAAACCACCTGTAATCCCACAACTCTGAGAAACCTATTTTCAACAACTTAGAATATGTTTCTCTAGACTTTGTGTGTGTGTGTGTTTAGTAGGGGAAGGTATTTTTATTTTTTCCTTCACAAAGATCTTTGGTTTTTAAGCACAAGAAAAATCTATCCTAGCAAATGCTTTTTTTTTTCATTTGGTATAATTTTGTTTTATCAAAACTCAGAAAATGACCTAGGGAGCACAAAAATCTTCCTTAGTTTGTATCTCTGTTACTGATACCAGAGAACTAGGAGTAATTCTGCTGGGAGATTCAAATGTCCTGGGGCAGGTCCTCTTACTGTAAGTTCTGTGACTCCAGTAGAGAATTCTAGGTGGTCCCTGAGCAGCCAGTCTCCAGTCTACCTCCTCTCTGAGGCCATGCCCTCAGAGGCAGCTGAACAGATGAAAGGGTTCAGGTTATTGGTGAGTACAGGAATGAGCACACCACATTCTATGAAGGCAATATCATCCTGATACCCCCAAATGGCAAAGACCCAACAAGGAAAGAAAACTATGGGCTGATTTCTCTGATGAACTTAGATGCAAAAATCCTCAACAGATTCTGGCAAATTGCATCCAACAGCACATTTCAAGGATCTTCCATCATGACCAGGTGGGCTTCATTCCCAGGATGCAGGGCTGGTTCAACATATGCAAATGAATAAACATTATCCATCACTTAAACAGGTAGAAAACCAAGAACCACATGATTATCTCATTAGACGCAGAAAAAACATTCAACAACATCCAACATTCCTTCTCAATAAAAATCCTCAAACTCCTAGACATCAAAGGAACATTCCTCAAAATAATAAGATCCATTTATGATAAACCTGAAACTAACATTATAATTAACAGGTAGAAACTGGAAGCATTCTCCCTAAGAACTGGCATAAGGCAAGGATGCCCATTCTCACCCTCCTATTTAACATACTACTGGAAATCCTAGTCAGAGCCATCAGGCAGGAGAAAGATATTGGGGGCATCTAAATAGAAAAGAGAAAGTTAAATTCTCCCTCTTTGCAGATGATATGATTCTATACCTAGAAAATCCTAGCGAGTCTACCAAAAACATTCTCACACAGATAAACAACTCTGGTAAAGTCTCAGGATACAAAACAATATGCAAAGCAGTTGTATTTCTATGCATCAACAACAAGCAGGCTGAGAGCTAAATAAAAAACAATCTCATTCAAAATAGCCACACCCCAAAATAAAATACCCTGGCATCTATCTAACCAAAAAAGTGAAAGACCTTTATAATAAGAACTATAAAACACTGCTCAAAGAAATCAAAGAGGACACAAACAAATGAAGGAACATTCCATGCTCATGGATTAGAAGAATCAATATCGTCAAGATGGAAATTCTACCCAAGGGAATCTACAGTTTCAACACAATGCCTATTAAATTACCAGAAGCATTTTTCACAGATCTAGAAAAGACAAATACAGAGATTCATATGGAAGCAAAAAACATCCTAAGTAGCTAAAGCAGTTATCAGCAAAAAGAACAAAGCTGGAGGCATCATACTTCCAGACTTTAAACTTTATTACAAGGCTACTATAACCAAGACAGCATGGTACTGGTGCAAAAATAGACACATAGACCAATCGAACAGGACAGAGAATTCAGAAATAAAACCACAGACCTTCAACCAACTCATCTTTGACAAAACTGACAAAAACAAACATTGGGGAAAGAAAGGCATATTTATCAAATGGTGCTAGGGAAAGTGGCTAGCTACATGCAGAATCAAGTTGGACCCCTACCTATCATCATATACAAAAACTAACTCAAAATGGATCAAGCACTGAAATGTGAAACCTCAAGATATAAGAATCTTTTTGTTGTTGTTGTTGAGTTGGAGTCTCACTCTGTTGCCCAGACTGGAGTACAGTGGCCACTCCCTGCCACCTCAGCCTCCACTTGCTGGGCTCCGGCGATCCTTCCGCCTCAGCCTTCCAAGTATCTGGAACTACAGGCATGCACTACCACTCCCGGCTAATTTTTTGATTTATTGTGGAGATGAGGTCTCACCAAGTTGCCCAGGCGGGTCTCGAACCCGTGGGCTCAGGCAATCCACTCATCTCAGCCTCCCAAAGCGTGGGATTGCAGGCTGAGCCACCGAGCCTGGCATAAGAATCTTAAAAGAAAACTTAGGGAACACCCTCCTGGACCTTGGGATAGGCAAAGAATTCATGCCCAAATCCTCAAAAGCAAATGCAGTAAAAGCCAAGATTGACAGATGGGACCTCATTAACTCAAAAAGATTTTGCACAACAAAAGAAACCATCAAGAAAGTAAAGAGACAACTCACAGAATGGGAAAAAAAATACTTGCTAGCTATGCATCTGACAAAGTTCTAAGGATCTATAAGGAACTCAAACAAATTGACAGGAAAGAAAAATAACCCCATTAAAAAGTGGGCAAAAGGCCACCTCAGTGGCTCAGTCTGTAATTCCAGCACTTTGGGAGGCCGAGGTGAGTGGATTGCCTGAGCCTGTAGGTTCGAGACCGCCTGGGCAATTTGGCGAGACCTCATCTCTACAATAAATAAAAAAATTAGCCAGGCGTGGTAGCACATGCCTGTAGTTCCAGCTACTTGGAAGGTTGAGGCGGAAGGATCGCCGGAGGCCAGCAGGTCGAGGCTG